CAGGATCCACAGAAGAGGTGGATGGCAAACGCACACCACCCGAAGCACCGGTGTCGGCAACGTTCTTCGGGTGTATGGTGTGGTTCTTGCCTGTGGACCCCACTATCTCGTCGTAAACCGCACGATCCATGTTGAAATTGAAGCCCTTGGACGTCCTCTCCTTCATCGACAATTGGAATAAGTCCTATTTCCCGGACAAGCCAGTGAAGTGATGTACATTTTTGAACAGCTGCATCAAATTGTCCCACTTCGTCCCGCACTTATCTGCGTCTCTGTTGACGCCCACCTTCTTCATCCTTTGCGCCACATCTAACCACTTCCATTCTCGCGGCTTCATCCGAGTATAGGCATGACCCATCCCCTGCATGTGCGCATCCTGGTCACGTTTAGCCCTGATGAGGGCTACAATGTGGTCGACGGACCAGAAGTGTCGACCTCCTTCCCTGTCCCCGTCCCCGTCGGCATCGCTCCCCTTCCCCGCCGCTTTTTTGCCCCGACGACCATTGCCGGCAGACACCTTCGTTTTCCCGCCCCTGCCTCCCATGCTGTCTTGCCTCAACAACGAAACATAGCCTTCGTCTTCCTCCCCACCCTCTCCGTCGTTGTCGTTGTCGTCATGATCGTCTGCGTCCATAACTGGTGCCTCCTTTTCCTTTTCGTGCTCCCCCACACGCAGTCGCTGCACCCCCCGAGTTAGGGATTCCTCGCGCCCCGACCAGAGCTCTCGCCGGCGTTCTGCCCAAACCTCCCTCCTGTCACGTTCGTCACCAATATCGGCGATGCTAGCATCCTTCTCCCCGCATTGGTCACGATGGCGGGCCCAGTCGAACCCGCGGACACGGGAGATGGAGACTGCATCCACATGAGGCGAGTGGAGGCACCCCTCGACACAGACGGCGACCGAAATTGCTGCCTGGGAGGATCCCTTTTGTTCCCCGACGCCTCCCAAACCGGCGTTGGAGACTTCGATGATTGCACAACAACCGTCACTTGCCCGCCGTCATCGTCGGGGTGGGGACACACGACGACCGTTCGCGAGGTGGCTGACGACCTCCCATTACAGAGCCCTAATGACAGATTCACACCGCCATCGCCTTCGTCTCCGTTGAGCCCCTGCTGGAGAAGTTCGGTGTACGACTGCCGATACACGCCGTCGAGGTTCCCGCATATCTTTGTAGCCGCCCACTCCTGGGTGGACCCACTTCCCAGCGGCATGGTCCGCGACCATGTGTCATCCGCCTCCTCGTCGGACGTATCAGGCAGAGGTTGAAAGTGCGGCGGTAAGTGCGCGTACCCGGACTGCTCCGACGGCCTTGAACTCCTCGACGGGGTTTGCCCAGCCCGCTGGCCACCGCCCTGCTCCCCCGCAGACATGCAGATCGCTTGGCCCCCCTCCATCCTGATGTTCTTCGACGATTGCCGCCTTCAATGTGCACGTCGTGGAACGCTACCGATGATGCGCACGTGGAACACAACTAAAACGACGAGCAAGAGGACGACCAACACCAACAGCGGCAACCTCCGAAAGACGTCGGCCATGAAAGGCACGTGGAAGATGACATCAGTTAGAAGGTAACGGTGAACGCCCAGGAAACGACGACGAACAGTGCTCCAAATGGTCGATCGCAGATATCGACAAACGAAGGGTAACATATCCCGTCGTGGAAGACACTGCGCAATCGGGAGAGCGGGGGCTGGCTGAAGTATTCGAATCTGCCTACCGTTGGGCGTCTTCTCACTCGGGGCCAAGGGCACCAACGCGATACATCCCCTTCTCGACGTCTTGGAGGCTGGCAGGCCGCCAACGGTGACCGTTGACGGACAATTCCATGACGCCAAATATTGCCGACTCAAGATGTCCGTCGACAGGCCGCCAGGAACAGAAATGGACCAGCTGAGTTCGAGATTTGTTGTCGAGAGGGTTGTTGTCGATGCCCCGATTCTTCCGGAATTTCGACCTCCGAGGGACCTCGGGAGGTCCCTTGGGGAACGCGTCCGAATGGCTGTAGCCCGAGGAATCCCAAAGGAATCTCCGAGGAAATGTTTTCACAATTTTTTTTCAATTTCTTCCCCGAGGATAAGTGGAACGATGAATTCCTAGGAGGATTACCCGCTCGAGGAGTGTCTAACGAACCCCTCTTTCACCGCCGTCCCCCGACATTTTGCCTCATGTTGCAGTCTCCTCTTTTTTGTTTTTTTTTTTGGTTTTCAAATGGGGCTGTAAGACCCAAACATTTTCTTTTGGCCAAGCCTCGTCCACACCCCCGAAAAATGCGGTGTGGCGTATATTCCCGTTTTTCCCAACACTGAGAAAGGTAGTGGTGGTTTAAGAAGGGCCCCACAACCTTTTCCTGGTTGGAATTAGGGTTGTGAGAGGTCAACTGATGAAAGATCACTATTGGGTAGAGTTGAGGCACATCCCTATTGAGGTCCAAGTAGCGTTCGTTCACCGTTTTGGTCAACAATTTAAAATTGTTGACTTTATTGACCCTCTGTCGATGCACGTAGCCAAGCGCGATGACTACCTGATGCTGGCTATAAACTTCCTGAAGGATCAACAATTCTCCCTAGATGACATCATCCCATATAAGATTGGGGGAGGGACCTATCAGATCTATACGGCGCATAAGTTTCGGTCGTGATGCTTCAAGTGCAGGGCATATGAACACCAAAGTGCGGAATTCGCATGCCCTCTCCACCCACAACACGCCCTCCCAACAAATCAGAATCTCAAAAGGGATCCGATGAGACCTTACAGATGGATACCCACAATCCCTGGGTATGAAGGCTGGTACTACAATAACAAAAAAAATCTCTATAGATCCCCCATTGGATGGAGTTGGGAGGGCAGAGGAGACTTCCACAAATGCGCCCACCTACTGATTGGAGCCTGATACTCCTTGGCATGAACACACAAAATCAGAACAACTGCAAGGACAACAAGGACAGCAAGGACAACTGGGACAACAGGGTAAAAAAAAACACAAGCAAAACCAGCAGAATACTCCCCCCCCCCCGACCCCAGCAACATGCAATAGAAATCCAGCCAAGCACACAACGCAAAAAGACAACAGGGGGGTACACAAAAAGGAGGGAGAAGAGATCCAAATGAAGGCAACAACAGAATGATGGGCCACCTCCTCAAGCATACCTCCCTAAAAGCAACCATCAGGCAACGACAAAGTGGAGGGAGGCGAAGTCCAAGGCTGAAAGCAATCGGTTGACCCCAATGACAGCACAAAATGAATCAAAACAAACACAAGTAGTAGAACATCCGCAACAACAAACATCACAAGCACAACCATGAGATCACACAGCACAAACATCACTTTTACTCACCCAACCCACCACAACGCTGACGACACACACACCATCATTAGCATAGGCACAGACAACACGGACACCGCTGACACTTACCCAACCCACCACAATGGTGTCACCTCAGCCACCATCAACACTTACACTCAGGCAACCCACCATCATCCCATCACCACAAAACCCGACACCCCTGTCACTAATGTCAACACGGATACCACAACCCCTGCTGCTTTTGATGCCACCAAACTCCAAGGAGGAACTGAACTCGCGCACCTCGATTAATGGTCTACCAAATACCTCAATGAATGGGCAACAAATTCCCCTGCAGCATCAGGAAACGCCTCCTAACAACCATTTCGTCAAAGCGGACATATTATATTTTTTGAACGAAATTAAAATTGAGTTTTTTGCCGAAATTTGGTCCAAATTTTTCGCTCCTGGGGGTCCGACGTTCCCAGAATGTCGAACCCCCTAGATGTATTTGGTCGCAGCTTGAGACTAGATACATCTATGGGGAACGCCGGACCCCCAGGAGCCAAAATTTTGGAGCGGATTTCATTCCAAAAACTTAATTTTAATTTCGTTCAAAAAATATAATATGTTCATTTTGACGAAATGGTTGTTTCCTCCTCATGAGATGGCAATAATCAGTCTCCCACATGAGGAGATACTGATGTCACCATCACCACAGGCCAACCATCTTCTGGAAACACTTTGCCAACCTGTCGATATCCATGGTCTTAAAAATCAACTTCT